ACAGGGTGCATTATAAGAATAATGCATAAATAAAATAAAAAGTGGCAAGTGTTAAATTAGTTGTACACATAACACATCACATAACACATAACCACATCATTACGAAAAATAAATAAAAATATTTATCAAAATGCAATAATAAACATACATTGTGTCGCCGGAGAGGTGAAACGATTCTTGTAAATGACAAAAAATTGTAGAGTTACAATATGGTCTTCTGGAATTCATATGCCACGATTTCAAGTTCGTAAAATTCAGTATACCTTGGAAATTTTGAAAAGTTTGATTTCAGTCACTAGTAAAGTGGCATTTCTGTACAAGATATGACATTTTCCGAACACCTTGTATAGAGTACATTTATTTTTTCTGAAAAACTAGAATCGACCGAAAAAAACTTCAAATTTGTCTTCAGCACCGTCGAAAATAGGGTAGAATATTTTTATTAAGACTTGAAAATTTTATGATATAGTAAATTATTTTCGTAATTTATGTTGTATGTACACTCGCAACATAAAGGTTTCTACTGAGAACGAGAACGATATTTTGTTGAAATTATGAGAGCTTAACCGCTTGCCTACATGCAGTCTGCAATTTTTTTATTATATGTTCCTAAGTAAAAGCAAATACTGACAGCCGTAAATCTTCAAAATTCTTTTTAATAACTCCCAGCATCGGCAATTTAAAGTTAGTAAACCTCTTACGTTGGAAACCTTTAAGTATGTTGCGGCGACTGTACATGTATTAAAAAAGCGAAATTAATATCTGAAAAATTATTATTAAGGACAGTGGGATATACAATCTTATATTTTTAAATTATTATTTGCAAAAATAAAATAATGGATTCAAAAAATGCAGTCAGTAGTATTATTCACGTATGTAAGAATTTGACACTTACCACAATGTATAAGCCATTTATTGCATAAATCTTCATTTTTATGTGGGAACCGAAACATTCGAACTCCCGATTTTCGAGTTTCACCACAATTAAAATATTGGCACTTGTTTCCAGCCATTATTGTTATTCTATTCTAGTCTGTGCACTTTAACACTAGTGAAACAAACTGAAATGAAATGATCTGCCGCTATGTGAAAAAAAATTGTATAAAAACATTTGAATGCAGGCTCTAGACCTACGCCCTAGCTTAACCAGCGCGCGCGAGTGCAGGTGCAACGATTTACAATTTTAACCCAGAATCATGTTTAATACTGTACTGTATACTACTCGCGCTTTAGCAAATTCATAGAACTTCTCAAAACATACGTCACATATAGCTAACATAATATAAGACAAAAAATATTATTATTCATTACCTATTTAAATATTTTTAAAATTTCTAAAAAACTATCGGTTAAATGTTTTTTTTCTGTTTGTTGNTATTTGGAGGTAAGTAAACCACATGGTTTTATCTAATAAAGCAGTTTTTAATTATTAAATATTATTAGGTATCTACATTTATAAAATTTGTATAAATAGAAATGGACACTCCTAGCTTAAAATTATATTTTTATCCTTTATTATTCAAGCTGATAGTATAAAATATACTCTGCGTACTGAGTGTAAAACTGCAACTAATACAATTAAATATGTATTAAACAGATTACTATAACCTCCACCCCCCAAATCTCTAGAAAACTAGTTTGGTTGATCAGTTCATCCTGAAAATATTAAGCGCTGCAGTCGCTTGATCAAGTGTGCATGAATTCTGCAGTCTCCCATTCCTTAGGATTTTAGTGTAGTATATACATATAATCAGTGGCGGCCCGTGGGTTTGAATACAGGGGGGGCGCATTTTGAAAAGAGGACGTACATCATAAAAGCTGCGGGGGGTGTGGGGGGCGGCANCCCACTCCTTAGGATTTTAGTGTAGTATATACATATAATAATAGTTCTCTTGTGTAAAACTTTACTTTTAGTCATTTCGATTACAATCACTGTCATTTCCATTCGAATTGCATACATTTATGTTCACTTTTGCCGTCAACTTTGCTACCGTTTTCTTGTCAATTTCTCCGATACTTTGTCTAGGAGTAAAGTCCAGTTTTATTGGAGATTTTAGACCTGATAATAAAAATATACCTATATATGATATCTGGCTATAGTGTATTATTTGGGTTCTTAGAATTAATATAAATATGACAAGTTCTTTTTATTTTAATAGTGTTAAAGCTTGAAAATCTATCTTTCTTTTTCTGTTTTTTCTTTCTTTTTAGGGCAAGGATTTTTTCAATTAATTTTTAAATTTTTTTCACAATTAGTAAAATATGCAACTAATAACAGAAAGAAACGAAAATTGTGTCACAAATATAATCATTTCAGCCATTGTTTCTAAATTTTTACATATAATGGACACTTACCAATCTTCATATTTTGCAAAGTGGCGAACTCCTCACAGTACGCAGCGGAACACAAAGGAGTCTTGACAGGCAGCATATTGTCGAATTTGGAAAGGTCTACATCATACCCCTGCCTGTGTTTATTCAGTTTCAACAAAGGTTCGAACTTCCTTCCCCACAATATTTCTTCAGACATGTAGCTGGTACGATGCTGCGTCATCTGGCCGGTACTCTCAATGGTACCTTCCAAAACAACAACTATTTCAAAGGTATGCTTGTTAAAGTCTCTTGGTGAGAAGTAGTACAGAGGTGAGTCTTTATTTATAACGTGGTATATGGTGAGGGGCCAGTAGAAGAACAACCCTCTTTGGCAGTTGTCGTAAAACAGCTCCAATTCTTGTTGGTGATTCACAAGTATTTCGCCTTCAAGTGTCTTCGCGGTACGCAAGAAAAAAACGCGGATACGACCACCAACCATATCATTCTTCCTCATGTCTCCTATACGAAACATAATACACAATTTCTCGTTTCTAGGGCATATTATAGCGGACTTGGAGAACAATAAGGTCTTTTGTCTTTGTCTTGGTAAGGTCAGTTTGTAGAAAATGGTTACAGACATTATGCCCTGTATGATAAATCCTACTAAGCACTGAACAGTATTCACGAAAATAGCTTCAGGGCATTCGTCAGTAGTAGCTTTAACACCGTAACCTAAAGTATGTTGGGTTTCGACGCTGAACATGAAGCAGGATGCAAAATTGTAAACGTCGTAGACACACGGTCTGTAGTTGCTTTGGTTTTGGAATGGGGGTAAGTGCTCGGGTTCTAAATCTCCGTGAATGTAGGAAATCAGCCAGTATAGGACTCCGAAGATGAACCAAGATACGACCAACGTGGAAGAGAATAGAGCAAGAGTACATGTCCATGAGTAGTCGACTAGTTTCAAGAATTCTAGAACGTATATCTGTTCTCGCTTGGTTTGAGGTTGTGACACGTTGCAATGGCCATTCTTAAGAATTATTCGTCGGTGGTCTCCTTCTGAATTTGATGTTTCGAATTCACTGAAACTGAAATGTTGAAATTAGTAGCGTATGAAGATTTGAGAGAATGACTTGCGTTGGCCTTAGTTCAGCTACCGCTCATCTATCATAAAATACTATCGCTAGAGGATTACACAGCAAAAAAAAATATTGCCCGGGTAAGGTCTGTATTTGGAAGCAAATACCTAATGTTATCACCTACTCTATGCTAACGCACCCAGACTCTGCTTGGAAGTACTGCGTAAAGATATCTACTATTGAAGTATCGGGAGTTAACAGTACAAATTAACATGAACCCACAAATTGATTAATCTCTTGGGCGCCTTCAGACAATATCCTTAATAAAATTCTCGAACATGTCCCAGAAAGAATAATGCATAAGTATGTAATAAATGCGCTTGTACTGATAGACAGGCGTTCATGTTTACCTATACAATTTTTTGAATCCAATTCAGCAATATGGACAGCAACTACTTTTAAAAAACTTCTTAGAAGCCAAGAATACTTTACCCAGTGCTGAGGAGTCCCTGTTCTTAAGTTATTGGAATCTACATAAGAAAATTTAGAAATAAACTACACTAAGTGAAGTTGTTGCACCTGCGACTTTTATATTAATTTTTATTTTCTATACAAATTAAAATCGAATATGTACATTTTTAATATAACTTTTTCTAAAAAAAATACTATTTCACTAAATAATAAGTAGGCTTAGTGCACGTGCAGAGTCGTCGCGGGGGTCCGTGGCCTTCACAGCTGACTCGCGTTTTGAACTGTTCAGTTATTTACGGAACCTTGTAGTAGCTGGTGTCACGTCGATACCTTTCATTTTTACTGCTGTAAATTGTATTCGCCGTGTGTAATTAAATACCTATTTATAAATAGTAACATAATTTACATTAACAACTATTAGCTGGGGGGAAAAGTGAAGTAAAATGTTAAAAGAGAAAAGAAATAAATGGGTATTATTTCAAATGTGGTTTGACAGTGATCTCGAAGGTTACAGAGACGTACGTATTAAAGGAAATGACCTGTTTTGTACTGTGTGTGAAGGCATTATAAATTCTTTTTACAAAACTAAAGTGACAAGACATTTGAAGAGTCATGCCTCGTCCAGCGCTGAAGACTCTGTATTTTTCTATGAACTTACAGACGCCTTTTTTTCAAGCAATATTCTATTAAATAGCCTAAATAACCCCAAGTTCTGCAATTCCGTAAATTTGAATCTCATATGGACTATCCCTAAATGAACAATTTGATATAATGGATGAAGGACAAAAAAATATATACGATGCCAATAATATACGACCAGTCATTAGTACGACAAAAGAAAAACTGCAAAGAGTGTTGGAAAACAATCCAGGATACACCATTTTGGAAAACATATGTAAAGTTTTATCTGGTACATATCAGGAGTTACCAGCAAATATATTAATATATAGTTCATGCCTCAACAATTTTTCATACTGTCCATTGTCAACAGTAGACGTTGAACGATAATTTTCCCTATACAAGTTAATAATTAAGTGATAAATGTCGCCGTCCCACTAAAGAAAAAAAAAAGAAAAGCAGTAATATGTTTTAACTCCTTCCAATATGCCACGGAACTCACGGAAGCCTTGCCTCAACACTGAGGTAAACATATTAATATTTTCATTCGTAATCTGACTACGTTCCTGTTAAACTCCGCGCCGCACTAAGTGTAATAATAATTAATAAGTGTACTATAATGAAAAAAAAAACAAGTATTACTCACGTGTCGAATGTAGCTGAATAATGGGTAGCGCAGTTTTTCCAGAGGAGTCCCATCATTGCTTCTACCTAATATAATGAAAATGCAAAAGTGATTCTCCCTGTGAATATAATATGTGTATGTATTTAACTGTTGCCGTACAAATAATTTTATTGTTTAAGTTGAAATATAAAGACGTTATCGCAGCTACTTGTCAGTTTTTATTTACTTAATACATGTTGCAGATTACAAAAAAAATGTAAATTTCTGTTCTAAAAAATATAAATTGCTATTTACTATTTTTATTAGAAAATTTTATATTCTACGCTCCCATACTTCGAGTTTATCCTCTTCCTTCTTCTTCATTGTCCTTGTCTCACATGCGTAAATAACAGCGGGTGCTATGACTGTATGGTAGAGTCTTATTTTTGTAGCTTTTGATACATTTTTCGTTCTTGAAACCTTTGAAAACATTCCTGCAGATTTACTCCCCTTTGCTAACCTTATTTCTATTTCTCTTTCATCAGCTCTCTTTATCTATCATGTACTTCCCTGCGTAGTTGTTGGCTAAACCATCCCTTGATTTCGCTTTCAGTAGCCTAAATGAATCTTCTATTTCTTCTTTTGACATAATAAACAATACCATGACATCAGCACAGCCAAGGCACTGATGTCTACTACCATATATCAAGTCTGTGGTTCTTCTTCCATTTTCTTTCTTAAAACTGCTTCCTGCACTGTACTGAAGAGAACTGTGGATAACGGGTTGCCTTGTCTACGTCTTTTCTTTACCATGAACTCTTTCAGAAACTTTCCATCCAATATTAAGTACTTTATTTCCTCTTACTTATGGTCATTTTTATCAATCTCCTCAGCTTTTTCGGTATTCCTATATTTCCCAACGCATCAACCAACTTCTTTAAGCCAATGCAAACTTACGCTTGCTTACAATCAATAAACAACAGACGCTAGTTTGTAGTGGTTTTAAGGCTTTCAAATACCTACTTCACATTCTGAGGCTTTCCATACTTCAAGAGGCAGATATTCGTCGTCACTCGAATAATGCATTTGACTTTATTCATATTAACAATTGAGTTGTAATATTTTAACACATGTGTTCACCGATGATGCCACTTTTATGCTTCATGGATTTTATAATAAACAAAATTATCGATATTGATGTCAAGAAAATCCTCACTGGATACGAGCAACTTGAACCCAGCGACCAGAAAAAAATAATGTCTGGACAGGTATACTAGGAAATAATATTATTGGACCATTTTTTATTGATGGGAACCTAGCTGTCGACAAATATTTTAATTTGTTGAGAGAATAAATTGTACCTGCTTTGGAGGCCCTAGGTCCAATTCATCAAATGTGGTTTCAGCAAGATGGAGCCCCTCCACATTATGGAAGGGCCATAAGAGAATATCTAAATGAAATGTTTCCTGTAAGGTGGATAGGTCGCGGAGGTGCCATTAAATGGCCAGCAAGGTCACCCGATTTCAATCCGTGTGAATATTTTTTGTGGGGTTACTTAAAAAGTATAGTCTACAAAGAAAGACCAGTAGATCTGGAAGATCTTAAAGCGAGGATCAGAATCTAGCTACGACAAATTCGACACCACACGTTGGCAAACTTGAGTGATTCGTTTTTAAAGAGACTAAGAATATGCCTGAACAATAATGGCCGTCATTTTGAACATTTAATGAATTAGTTCACATCCGTTCCATTTTTCTTCATTTATCCTATTAAAATAGCTTAAAACGTTGATCTTTTGATTTTTTGACCCCTTACTTTAGGACATAAAATAAAATTATAAAAATTGAATTTACTGTATTTTTTCTTATGTGATCCCATTAAAATTGTATTGTAGCGTAATTAGAAAGGTCCAATGTATTAATTTTCACAAAAAAAATATATGGTGCCGTTTAAAAAAATTAAGTTCCCACCACATTGGCAACCACATTTTTTGTGCTACGAGAGATTGCTTGATATCACTAAACGGGAAATAATTTCCCCTAACACTTTCATTAAAACATGCTTTTGATATGACGAATATTTTAAGAAATATAAGCAATATTCCACAATTTGTATCCACACTGTATATTTTTAGGCTTATTGGATGTTAGGTATTGATATTTTTGTATTGTACTGTTTAATTCCTGGTGTACCCAAAATTCAATAAAATTCAATATAAATCCAATATTAGAAAAATTAATTTCTTGGTTGAACCAACTTTTAAACATTTTGGTACGGAGTATACGTGAAGATTATATCAATCAGCAAACGTACTTTGCCTTCTAGTTTCTCAAATCTTTTATTAAAATGAAAATAGACTCCGCTGGCATAATACTAGCAGCGATTCTACCTGCTTTCATATCAGACCAACTAAAACCTTGCCGGAATTATTCAGCTGTTCTTTTCTGTTGCACCTACAGGACATATACATATATCATTTTCAGAAGGATCAGCATGGCAAAAGTCCTGTGCATTTTGGGGAATTGTCACCGTAAATGTTCCTTGTATTAATGATGATAGAATTTAGCAATTTGTAGGATTTTATTTATTTATATATTATTTATATTAAAAAGTGTTTCAAACGTTCCAGACGACACTTCATTTTAATCAATACAGCTTACAAAGTTTTATTCTCGCGAAAACCTCTAGCATTGTTAATCACAGTTAACTGCCGTTTATCATTTTCACGAGAAATGAAGTTAACTCGGTTTGACTGATTTTCAACTTTCGAAGTATGTAACATCCTCCCTAGATTATGCCATGAAGTCCTGGGATACATTCTATATATTGTAAGCACTTTATGACTTGGTTGTGAACAAATATCACTTTTTTCTTCTTATGATTGTTTATACAAATCAAACAAATGTGGGCTGTATTTTTTAATTAATGTCGAGATTGACAATGGTTACAAACAAAGTGACAGCGTTTGCTCGACTGGGTTGCTGACTTCTAGATTTTGCACTGTCTATCTTATATGCACCAAACACTATGTTTTATTTGTATTGTATCTAAACCCAACTAATAGGAAACGGAGGTGTTTCGCTTCTTTCTTCCTCCTCAGGAATATTTTCATACTGTGTATAGTGCGTATACTTGTAACGACTTGCCGACGGTTTAATCAATTTTGGTCTTTGAATGGAGCCATCCAGTTCAATCGTATGTCTTCTTGAAGGGTATTGTTCAAACAGTGGTCTTGGTGAATGGTCTTCTGCATACTCATTAGGTCTATGCGATTCATTTTGAAGGGATAGCGTTCTATGGCGAGTTTCGCTAGATGTGTACCTTGGGGGTGATCCTGAAGGTACGGAACGTTGTTGGGGTTCTTTTGGAACATATTTGGTAACAGTGTCTTCACCATTCCTCTGTTCATTTTTCCTGCGATTGGGTGTGTAAGGAAGTTCGAGGGATTCTTTGTCCTCTTCTGATATTTCGGTAGCAGGTTTAATGGTTTCTTCCAAATTTTGTGAACCTGAAAAATGATTAATCATTTGTTATTAGGCAAATTGTGATTGAATGACCAATTGATTGTTGATTGATTGATTGACTGATTGATTGAATGATTGATTCAATAAGTGATAAAATGAAAGGTTACTTCTATCTATTTCCAGTAAAAGTCAACGAACGAGTAAATGATTGAATTGATAATGAATGAATTAATTAAACGAACAAATGAGAGACTGACTGAATGAATCAATAATTAAATTAATGAATTATTTAAAGAACTGTTTTATAATACCTCTATCTTTAAGATCGGCAGCGGAACACATGGGCATCTGTATTTGCAGGGTTTTCTCAAACTTATCATAATTCGCCTCGTAGCACTGATGTTCATCATTAAAGCATACCATGGTGTCAAACCTGTGTCCCCATAGGATTTCATTGGCCAAGTAGCTTGTTTGCGCGTTAGTTCCTTGTCCGGTACTCTCGATGGTACCCTCTAGTATCAGGATAATTTCGAATTTGCATCGTAGCATATCGGCAGCAGACAACTGATAAAACGGCGAGTCCTCGTTGATTCTGTGTACTATTGTTATTGGCCACAGAAAAAATAAATCGCTACCGGCACTGTCTACTTCAACTTCAAGATCGGTTTCGAAGAATTTTAGTTTTTCCCCTTCCTTCGTTTTTCTGTTGTGTATGAGTATGGCTCTTATGCTGGCTCCTGCAACAAAATGTTTTTGTTCATTGTGCAATCTTCTATCTAAACGTAATTTTTATTTTGTTATCATTTTAATCTGTACGATTGCTTGCTTGGAATAAGTTATTCGAATATTGCTAACGTGGAGATTGAATGAAATAATATTAAAACAGCTTTTGTGGATTTAAATCCGAAATATAACAAAAAATGTGAATAGAAAAAACTACTTCCAATTTGGATTATTTTTAATACATATGAGATTTAATGAATAATCGTGGTTTATCATAAATCTTCAACCCTCAATTCGTTAACTCCTTATTTCTTACCTACAAGTGGAGCCATCCTCAGATCCCCAGCTCTGAACATCATGCACAACTCTCCGTTTCTTGGTGCGACCACTGCATTTCGACTGAACTGAATCGTGAAATTCGTCAGTCGTGGTCTCATCAGCTTGGCTATGACCACCCCCACAGTAAATCCGTCTATTATCATACCGATGATGCACTGACAGCACATGATGAAGATCGCTTCTGGGCATTCTTCCGTGATGACTCTCAAACCGTAACCTGTGGTGTGCTGAGTTTCCAAAGAAAATAGGAAGCAGGAAGGAAAACCGTGGATGTTCAGAACGCAGGGTGTCCAACCTAAAACCCGTTTGCTATTTAATGACTTAAAAAATTGATTAAAAAATTGGTCAAATTATTTTAGCACACGAATTGCGAGAATTTCTGGCTTTAACAAATTGGACAAGATATTGGGGTTAATAGAACTGGTTAGAATTTACCAAATTTTAATCACATTTAGAATTCTAGTTCGTGTTGTTATTCCAAACAATTTAAAATATTGTTTATAAATACATGTATGTTATTTATTTTAATTGTATTTTATTGTTTATTCATTTTTAACAATTAATCCGGGCGAATTAGTCCAAACACATGCCTGTTTCAAAAATCGGGCCTAACTCGAATTTTATGGGCTTAAAATTAAGTAAAAAATACACAGAATAAAAGCCTAAATTTGTGCATTTGTAGAGGTTGAGCGTCATATTGTTTATAACAAAAGAAAACAAAAATAATTGCTCTTTTTTCAGTTTTTCGCTTATATCTCCGAAAATAAGCCTCTAATCGATATGAGATATATTTATCGATTTTGTTCCTGAGGAAATTTGCTACAAGGATAGGTTTTTGCGAAAGTTCTTAATTTTTTTTACATTGCAAAATTAACGGTGAAGAAAAAAATGTGCAAAATTTTCAGCATTAAATAAAAAAATCGAATTTGACTGAAATTGGATGAAATTACAGGAAAAGATAACTGTTGGGGTGCTCAACAAATACTCGCAATCCGGATCCCCTATTTCAAAATGGCGGCCTACTGCAAAATTATAAAGTCGGAAATGCGAGCGCGTATATTTTCTGCCCAAGTCAAGATATAGAAATTTGTTAAAAAAGGATCGAAAGGTAATTATATTGTCTTGCGTTTACGTGAATTTCAGATTTTTGAGTTGCAAAATAAAAAAGTTATCAATAAAAAAACAAAAACAAAAACGGTAAGTACCTAGGGTCCTTATCTCGGCGGTTTTTTAATATACAGATTTCAAACCAATTATATCACATAGTGCTTAAAAAAAAGAATTTAAAAAAAAGCGTCTCGATCCGACCAATAGGAGCCGAGATAATTTTTTTTCTTAAAAACGGCAATCTGGCTGTTCTGTTTAATATTTTGTAATGAACTTGGGCTCGTTGTAAAGTAGAAGACTTCCTTTATACGCTGTGACGTCATAGTGCCCATGCTGCGCTCAGCTTTTCAAACTTCTTACTTAACAAATGAATTGTGGCAATTAGAAAGCAGCTACCGCGATGCTTTTTTTAAATCAACTTATTTTTTTTTCGCTCTTTCGAATGGTGTAAGCAAAAGTCTGTGAAACTCATCGCCAAACCCCGAAAAATACATTTTTTTTGACTTTTCACGTTTTCTTTTGTAATTTCATTATGCTTTCGATATTTTGAAAAGTAACAAGGTCTTTTTACGTATTTAAAAACAAAAGTCAATTAGTTCTTTGAAAAAAATGGCCAGTATTCTATTTACCGTGCTCAGAAGAGGTCGACGTATAAAATATTGTCTTAAAATTAACTGTTACAGTTATTGCGTAAATTGTGTGTAGAATTTTATTGAATATTACAATATCAACATTACATATAAGTACTGCATTTTATAGTATTTAAAAGAACTGTTACATTCAATTCTACCATATTTTATTCAATAAATTGTATTGCTAGCGAAAGTTTTTTTTTGATTTTTATAAGAATATTAAAAGTAAAATAAATATTTAATGTATAATATATTTTAATTTTAAACTTCGATGAATTTTTCAAGTTAATGGTTTACGTTGTAGAGCACGTGATTTGAATGTGGCAAAATGGCAAAATTCATCGAAAATTACATTAAAAATTACATTAAATATTTATTTTACTTTTAATATTCTTATAAAAATTAAAAAAAAACAACTTTCGCTAGCAATACAATTCATTGAATAAAATACGGTAGAATTGAATGTAACAGTTCCTTTAAATACAATATACATGGGTTCAATTCTCCATGGTTACCGAGGTATGGACCTTTAAAGTTCAGAAATAATGTTTTAATATCAATCTGGCTAGCTATGATTATGTTAGTTAACAAAACAAGTGATCAGTTTATGTAGTTAATTGTGTGAACGTGTTTCTAGTAATATTTTGTCAACATGCCTGTGCTATTTTCAAACGAAGAGTATGTCGACATAGTTTACATTTATGGATTTTGCGATGGAAATTCTCGAGCTGCCCGTAGAGAGTATCAACGACGAACAGAAGAGTGCCAAATCATCAAACATTTGATTCTGTGTTTCGACATCTGCGAACGCATGGTTCATTTCCAACAATGTCAACTAAGTATGAACAGCTAAGCAGCAGAATTTGATTGAGCAAGAAAACATTTTGTTGATAAATTGTAGACAATGCACAATTAAGTACTAGGAGAATTTCAGCATGTACGAATGTTCCCCATTGGAGATTATGGCGAACATTACATAGCAACATATTGTGTCCTTATCATGAACAACAGATTCAGCATCTGGAACCACATGACTTACTTTCACGGGGACATTTTTACCAATGGTTTGAAGCCTCAATTAGTTAAACGTACATATTTTATTTACCGATGAGTACCTATTTACTCGAAACAGAGTGAACAATATGCACAACTCTCATAGATGGTCTGATGATAATCCTTATTTCAAAAAAGAATCTACTTTTAACGACGATTTTCTATAAACGTCCGGTGTAGCATAATTAATGATCAACTAATTTGGCCTTTCTTTTTTGAAGAGTGCCTTACAGGAGAAGTTTACACCAACTTTTTACGTAATGAATTGCCGGGTCTATTGGAAGATATTCCAATAAATGATATTATAACGGTGCTCTTCCTCATGTTAGTCGATTAGTGGGAGAGTGAGAATGACAGCTATAGTAATAGGTGGATCAGACGTGGAGGACCGCATTTCTGGCCACAGAGATCACCCGATCTCAATCCTTTAGACTATTACTTGTGGGGCCGTCTTAAAAGCTTAGTATACAAGACATCAATTAATAGTAGAAAAGAGTTTACGCAGATAACCCGGGACTTTTCAAGAGCAGTCACTCTATATTTGGTACTTAGTGCTGTACAGCGTAGTAAGGTTGAAAGAGGACATTTTGAACAACGTAAATAAGTAGATTATTTTTGTTTTGTTGTCATTTTGTTATTGTTATTCCTGACAGTCAAACATAGTAAAAGTTTAAAATCTGTGTACATGCAAGTACCTACTTATTTTTAAACATAACTCTGTAACCATGGAGAATTGATATTATAACTTTTTACTCAGGATGACCTCAGCAACTTGTTCCTTAAGTTTGTCCAGTACGTCTTGAAACATCCTATATAAGGTTATAAAAACAGGGATAATTTTATTATTATCAATCTATTACCTGTCTCTACCTGTCTGGAAGGCAAGTGATCCTCATGCAGGTCCTTGTGGACAAATGCTATAAGCCACCATATCAAAGAGAATATCAACCAGCCTCCCGTGAAGCCTATTCCCAGTACTTGTAGGGTCCACTTCCATTCTGCGTCGACCAAACTGGTAAAGATATCGTGGACGTAGTGGATGTACCTTCTAGGAAATTTCGGAGGAAGAATGTTATATTCTCCGTTCTTCAGTATGGCTCTTCTTTTTAGATTTGTGTTTCTTATGGGTGGACCAAACGGCCTCCTATGATAAATATTTAAGAACTACCAGCAAGATATGTTGGAAGTTACAGTTTGACTTCTTGAGATGTCAGGTGATTGTTGAAATTGACTGAATTTAAGTCAGCATGTCAATGCTTTTGTGTAGATATTACAGAAAATTTCAGATCATGAAAAGCTTATGGGGTGATGCAAACTGAATGAAAAAAAGCGTTTATATACTATAATAGAAATGTTATCTGCTTGAGTAAACTAGAGTTACATTGAAAATAATTTTATTATTTCAATGAATTTTCAACTTCATATGAACTATGAACCTTTAGAGTAACTCACAGTGTACATATGTATGACAAATTTTGATAAACATTCAGAAAAAGCCCATATTATAAACTATGTATTTTAAATTAGGTAAAATAAAATAACAAGCGTTTCCTTTTCTTGAATAAAAAAACTTTATAAACAGAAACAAACTAATTGGGTAACTTTTTAGGAAAACTACACTCACCTTCTCTTGTCTTTTATTTTATTCGCAATCCAAATAATTTTTTCCATATTAACTAAAAACTGTTACTTAATAAGTCAATGAGAAATTTAAAATTTTATAACGCTCAGATTTTATATACCATATATTTACTGTGTTTACAGATTTCCAAAGCCGGATCCTTTTATATTATAGATTTCCTCAATTAAAAAAGTTATAAAATTATAGTTTTATAATTAGATGCCAATTTGGAATTTGAATTAAACAAATATAACTTTTAAGATTAAGTGTATACAGGGTCTGAAAAAAAAATGGTGCTACGAACTTTGATAGTTATCTTTAAAAAGTAAGTTAACAAATGTAGTTTTGATTGACAACAATTTTTTCAATACTATATTAAATTTTACGTAAAACGAGGGGTAATATAGATAGAACCACATATGTTTTCATCTTAGTTGTGGCGAAGTATTTGCGGTGTTACCAGTAAAGACGCTGGCAGTGTTTGAAAGTATTGGATGCGATCAATCAATTACATAGGTCACTACCAACGAGAACCGAAATGAATATCATGACGGACCTAGGAGTTCTAATAGCGGATCCGCCCCCACAGAGTCTGGACTGAGAACAACAAGGGCAAGTCTAAGATCCCTAGGTATGGCACCATTTTCCCAGTGTGATTTATAATGTATTCTTCCTTTGTAAGAAGGAACGATATTTACCTACTTCTGACAGTAACAAATTGCTTAGTAGAATTTAATTATTACACCTTTTTTCTTCTTGCGTGTCAAATTTTGTTGTATTTTATGAAGCGTTTTACAACAAAAAATTAGTTTTGTGAAATTGGAATACCGCAGTGCCACTAAGTTTTTAACAAACAAATAGAATAAATAATCTTAAAAATACACAAGGACGAGTTAAAATAGTATATGAGGGTGAAGCTCCATGGTATTTTAAAGTAAACTACTAGTTTCAATGGAGTTATATCCAATGAAGAAGATCCAAGAACTAGAAGGCCTTGAGATATAACTAATAGTGGTGTTTTCGGGAAAGTTGACACAATGTTTCTCTAAAATCGTCATTTGAAAGCGTTTACTATTGCTAAAGTATTAAATATATTTGAACTGAACGTTTAGACAATTCTATGTGATAAACTGGGTTGGGGTTAAGTTTCGGCAAGATGCGTTCCAAATTTGTTGACACCCGAACAAAAAAAAAAAATCAATTGAAATCTTGGGTTTCGAACCCAAACTTTTCGTTTAAGATAGTGTCAGGCGATGAGAAGAATCTTCAGCAGCAATTCTCATGCTCACCGTCATTTAGGACCAAGTAAGAATTATTGTCATATGCCATAGGGCACTACAGATACAAAAGTTACTTACAATACCGTTAATAAAATTATATACGGTTACTGACCAAAATCGTTCTGCTTTGGATCATAAGTTCATGTATAATATATTTTTTTAAATAGGCTTTTAGTGACGTCATTTTATTTTCGTATTCTTCTCAGCAAACCCTTTCATTTGATACCCATATCATGGGGGTGCATAAAAAATAACTGGTCCGCCATCTTTGGGAGTCCGCCAGATTGGATTTAGAATGACATCAATTAGCTGCATTGCATTGTCATCCAAACTACAAGTGTATGCAAAATTTCAACTCAATCAGTTGTTGATTTAGTTGCAAGATTTGACCCATACTAACAAGGCAAGTTAAATAAAAGCTTGTAAAAATGTCCAGCTTCTTTATGTAATGCACAAACTCACAAAGCAGCCAAAGTCCAATCCTTTCTCCGCGACTGTAACTTCTCTGAGCTGAAGCACCAACCTTATAGCCCGAATTTGGTTCTGATTTACTTCTATTTATTAAGAAATTTTAGAAAAGGTCTTAGGGAACGTCAACTTGCAATTAGTAACCAATTGGAAGATGATATGATTAATATGTCTAATTTGAAGACTGATGAGAATAATATTTTTTTTAGGATAAAATCGTTGCATGGCAAGTGGCATAAGTGCATTGGTGTTGAAACAAAAAATTATAAAAAAGTCTTGTCTTTTGTTTCATTATTAGAAATGACATTTTTGTAGGGCTTTTCATAGTTTCTTTTAAGTTGCAACCAGTTGGAATTAGGGGAATCGACAATGGTTTTATTTTTCAAGAAATAATTTTCTAGTTCTGAATGCTAAGTTTTTACAGAGAAATGTTTCCTGACTAGCTTTATGTCATACGAAAGTAAAAGACCAATATTTTATGTAGAAAAATTTAATGTATAAAAAATGAACAACGAAACACATTTTGGGGGTTAATAGTGAAAACATGAAAACAACTGATTTGGAAATCACGAGTCATCTGCCACATATTAGAAAAAATGATATAAACGAAGTAAACTGGGCAAAGTATCGTGCTACCAAAGCAGCTTCGCAGTTGCTTAACAATCCATTTCTGTTTTGCTTAAATGTAAAAATTCTTTAACTTAAAGCTAATTACATTTAACACGCGAGGTACGAAGTAGAAAAATTAAGTTATTTTAAAAGGAACATCAGTAGTGTTTAAAGTGACTTAGTGGTGACCGTATCCACCTCCAAAAGAGAATCCATGGCCTCCAGAAAATCCTCCGGAGATGATACCCCCATCGAACCCACCCCCAAAGCTTCCATGTTCGTCAGCTTTGATGAGAACTGGCACGGGTTTCTTTACGACCTTAACGTCGTGAACGAGGACTGGTACTGGCTTGTGGACTGCAACTGGGTATGGTTTTGGGATGTGGACGGGGATCTTCACTGGCACTGGCACCTTGTATGGAACACTGACTGGTACTGGGATGTTCTTCACCACCTTGACTGGATAGGGCTTGTCTACGTGGACTGGGTATGGCTTGGCGACATGGACTGGGTAGGGTTTGTCGACCTTGACAGCTACAGGGACCTTGACTGGGTAGGGCACCTTCTTCTCCACGTGAACTGGGTAAGGGTGAGGCACGGGCACGGGAATCTTTTTGTGGATGGTGATGTGGTGGACGTGGCCGTGGTCGCTGCTACCTACGTCGTTCCCGAGGTCGACGAGGCTTCCCCCAGATCCGCCGAGGTCTCCGTGACCTCCGTACGAGCTTTCGTAGCCGCCACCAAAGCCGCCGAGCAAAAGGCCTCTCTTCTGCTTCGAGGATTCCCCAGCGAATACTGCTGATGTAAGGAGCAGGGTGCAAAACTGAAATAAGAATAAATATTTTTGTTAATTTGTTTTCATTTTGTAATAATGAACATATTTTCAGCATTTTGTATATCAAATTAATAATGTATTGTGTATTAATAGTGCACAATGAGATTGAATTTGTAATATGTTTGTAATTTTAAAAAGTAGGTGACTAAAATTGAAAATAAATTTTTTACTTCAAAATTTGTCTCTAATAAAAAAATTTATGATGAATCTCAACAGATATTATTATAATTATTTCTAAATTTATTTAAACGCACCATAAATTGCTAATTTGTTGAAGAAAAAAGTCGAGAGGTCATTTTTATTCGAAATTAAAATTTGCTTGTTAAAAAATTTTCCACTTTTCTAATAACGTTCCGTAATTTTTGTAACATGTATCATACATACAAAATTTAGTTTCTATATTTTCATTTTATTAAAAGAATTATTACAAAATGTTATAATTTGTTGTATTAGGAACACAATGTATTGAGTTTTCATTTCTCTGCTTCGTAAATACATGTCTAACACATATTTACATGGATATTGAACATATTCTGAAATATTTAATTGGACTAAACAAAATGCATTTCTAAATCTAATATATTAGATGTAGGTAATATTAAGTAACACATGTAATATCGTGTATATGGCGTGATGTTCATTTATAATTTTACTACTAATGAAGCTATTGTTAAAATTCTTGAAATAACTCACCAGAAACTTCATGTTGGAGGTGTTGGAAAAGTAAAAAATATCAAACTGCAACTGCTTGATGAGTGTCTGGTACCCCTGGCTTATATACCTACCCTCCTTCTCTAGCGATAGTAGGTACTTTCTTATGCTTGTTACATCCGAACCACAGTACCGTAAAAATTATTCAAACGAATTTATTTTTGCACGGAAGTATGACGGGCTTTTGGCGAAATGGAATAGTTAATGTGTATACTTTTATAATAATATTAATTAAGAGCGTTATTTCTAGTCATTAAAATCTGATTAATTGGTAAGGTTTTACATTAAAAAGCCAAATATTATGCATCGAATACTAAAAGCATTCATGTTTGTGTATAAGTGACTTCAACAAGATATACAGAGTGTTTTTGAGTACAGGCACTATGATTCCTATCGTAAAACATAGTCCGGTCAAATTAGTCATAAAAATGGTGGTCAAATAACAAAAATTCCGACAGAGCTAAATTTTGGTGGAGACCTTGGGTACACCATTAGAAATAAAGTGTCAAAAGTCCCCACCGATCCCATGTGTGATAAAAAAGTTATTTGGGGTCAAAGGTCAAAATTTGAGGTGTTTTGGATTTTTTTCGAAAACGGTAAGTTCTATCAAAAAAGTAGTTCTGACAAATTAGATCTAAAAATTATCTACAAAAATGGTCCTTATACTTTTTTTTCTAAGTACCACCATTCCTGAGATATCGCGATTCTAAAAGTTGAAGGAGTCACCTTTTACATGATATGCACATATATGCAACGCATATACATAGTCAGGCACTTAATACAAGTAAAATGCCTATTTGTGTCTCTTATATATATATATATAAACTAGACTATTCTAAGAATATACACTCAAAAGAAACTCACTCCCTTAGTCAAAATGACGCAGATGTCCTTATAATTGAAACAGCAATAGAACAATGTAATGCAACAAAACAACTATTGTAGTTGGTGAAGATGTTGACTTATTAATACTACTCATTGCAAGGACTCCAATTGATAAAATTATATATTTTCTAAAACCTAGAAAGGCTCAACAGCGAACAGAAATATATATTTCAAAAAGTTTATCTGCTTATCCAAAATGCCAAAACCATATCTCATTTTTACATGCGATAACCGGCTGCGATACTATAATCAGCAATGTTCAGAAGGGGTAAAACATCAGTATTAAAATTATTTGGAAAAAAAGATTTGATTGATTGCAGAAATTGATTCTTCACATCAAACAATAATCACAAAAGGAATTACCTTTCTCCTTGCTGTTAAGGAGCTCCAAAAAAAATTGATTGTATAGATAAATATAGATATTTAACTTCTGTAAAAAATACAAGAAACAAGAAACAAGTACAACTATCTTGTCTTCCTCTAACATCGGCCAGAATAGTGGCAGAACTCCTTCGGAATGTGTGTCCGGTATAAGTTGAGGATTGGGGGTTGGTAAAAAAATAAATAGGGAATTTATTTGAGGGAAAACTGAGTGTTACTGAGCAGTACGAATCTAAATTACTAATGCTTTATTAAGAAAAACATGTGCATCAGTACCAAGGTTTCTGGACTTGGAGTTATGCCCATCTCTAAAATACTCTTCCTAATCATTATTTGTGCAAAAAAGCCCAATTTCGTTTAACATAGGACTTCAATAATGTTCGAATTAAAATGATAAAGGTGAATTAGTACCATTTTAAGGTGGCAAGAATGGGCTAATTCATGTCACCACACTCGAGACCCCAGCTTCAGCAAACTTGCTAAAATTAATTTCTTGCAAATGTAAAAAAGGATATCGGGGAGCTCGTGGATGCAGAAAAACTGGACTAAAGTGCTCCGTTATCTGCGCGAATTGCAATGGTAGGTACCTGCGACAATTCGGATGTTGATCTGCAAGACAGTGATGAAGAGGAAGATACGGAGACAGTTCTTCAGCAAACCTTCGACGAAATCGAGGAAGAAGGTGATGAAGTCGGAGAAGAGAACCCTATCGAGGATAACTTAGAAGAACTTCCTATCGGTGAGGTTTTGCTCAGTTCTGAAGACGAAGAACTCGCAAACCTGGTCCATCAGGGATAGCGAAGCGAAGGAGAATGCACTAAATTTAGTCAACAGTGCATCATATGTGGATTAGGCCTACTGGGCATATCACTAGCCAGGAAAGCCAGGAACTCTACCTCATGGTGGTGTGGAAATAAGTTTGTTGGTCAAGACGAGTGTTGGAGTAGACTTTGCGGCGCTCGTACGCCGAAACTGTTCATTTCACAGAAAAAATGTTGATACATAAATTATAGAAAATGGTCTCTAGTTCAATTTATTATATAATTATTTTCACCGTAAAGTGAGTCGGAAAGGAAATATCGTCGAAAAACTGTTTTGGAGCGCCATTTTTCCAATATGGCGGCTACTTCCGGAAAAAAGAGGTGGTAAAGTAAAAATTCGGAAAGAGCACGTCAAAATCTATAAATATACCAATTTTCAAAACTCCCCTAAAACTTCACAGGCAAAACTTCCAACTGATTGGACTAATAGGTACACCGTCAACAACATAACCTCAAAAAAGTTATGTAATTAAATGTCACAAACAAAGGTCGCAGCTAGTGTCATCTAGAAGGTGGTTAAAGACTAATAACCCTGACGTATTTAAAACCCCCAAAAACTTACCTATACCAAATTTTACTAAATAAATATAAAAGAAACATGGTTAACATTTTATTTTTTGACGACTTGCATCGCGAAAACATAAGACGATAGGCTTATGGCACCTATAAAGGAAAAAATCTTTTTATTTTTGTATGTTGTATGACTTTTTGAATTTATCATACCTTTTTCCAAATGTGTTTAATGTAATATAAATAAGTTTAACATGTTAATTTCTTTTTGTTCCCAAACAACAAAATTATTGATAGGTCTTTTTAGTACTCAGGTCTAGGTTTAACGTCTTATACTTTGAAGTAACAAATTATTAGTTTACTTAATTTCAGTGTGAATGCATATAAAACTCTCTTAATTATTAAAAAAAAACAAAAACAAAAATTAAATAATTTGCTATTTTTTCTTAATGTTCATATTAGACATGTCTCAAGTTCTTGTGTTTTCATAAAAAGTGGGAAATTATGTTGATTCAGTGGCGTACGCAATGGGGTTCTGGGTATTAGAACCCCTCCAATAATGATAATTAATATTAGGAGTTTTTAAGTTAACAGCACTGTGGTAAAATTTTATTTACGCCATTGACAGCTTATAATGTACATTTCAAAAATTTAAGGTATAAACTGTTATCTAGTATTTTATTTATGAATAGTTATCATTACATTTTGTTTTGTATGTACCAAGCTTTTTTTAAATTCTCCAATGTTGGCTTTCTCCAAGTTTCGTGCAATCCTCGTCTTCTTCTTCCGGTACATCATAGTAAGTTTTCTCCACGAAGTCATATTTGCTAGCACTTCTCACAAATCCAGGTAAAGAGCCTCGTCTCGCAGTTCTTTTGGGAAAGTTGAAATTATTTTCAAATGGTGTGATAGGTTCCGGAAACTCGAAAGTTTGACAGATCTGTTCTTCCTTTGCATGATTCCCAAAAATTTCCGGTGGACTTAGGCCACCATCTTTTGGTTTTCCTTGCGGTGCTGGTTCTAGGTAGAAATAAGAGGACGATTGTGGATTTGTTTCTTCAGGAAAACCTTTATCTGATTCTGAAATGTATTTTCTTTTAGACTTACATAGACTGTATATAATGGAAAGAATACAGAATACAGCTACCTACACTGTAAATAAATCGGTCTGAGTGAAAGCTGAGTGAATCCAATGAGTGAAATTATTGAATACATTTTCACTCAATATTGGGCATTTTGATAATTTTACATATTCTTGATAATTTCACTCATAAAATTTTTACTAAGAGAGGAAAATTTCACTCAATGGGGTGAACAGAAATGGATACATTTTATTGAATGGAATTGAGTGGAAGTAAGTTCAATTTTTATTTTATTTTTTTATTTACTGGGTAATGCATTCAAAATTTTTATACAGGGTGTAACTAAATAAGTGTAAAACATTTAAGGGGGTGATTCCTCATCGAAAAAAAGATAGGATCTTTCATATAAAGAAACTTCATTGGAGCATTCCTTGTTAAGATACAGCCCCTTAAAGGGGGTACATAAAATTTGTTTAACAATTTTTTTCACAAGCACTAAACAAGTTACAATATTGAAATTAACCTGACATTTTCTACTACCAAAAAGACACTTAGCCAGTAATTTATTTGGTTTACCCCATGGTTGTAAGGGGTGGAAAAGGCAACCCCTCAAATTTATTTCCAACGTAACTTTTTGTCTTATTATTTGTTTACCATTTAAAAATTTATTTCCGATAGCCTGTTTCATTTAAAAAAAAAATGTCTCTTGAATTTTTTGCCCAAAATAAACCAGTTCGCAGCAAAAAATTATTTTACGAACAACTACAGAGATACATCGTCATAAATGCGAACTGGATTTACTGTTATTTTGTAGTTACTACCTGCATTAAATGATTAAAGGGAAATAATCAAAACTAATTTATTAATAACAAAACATACAACATGTAGAAATCATTTTAAATGGTAAACAAATAATAAGACAAAATGTTACGTTGGAAATAAATTTTAGGGGTTGCGTTTTCCACCCCTTACAACCATGGGGTAAACCAAATAAATTACTGGCTAAGTGTCTTTTTGGTAGTAGAAAATGTCAGGTTAATTTCAATATTGTAACTTGTTTAGTGCTTGTGAAAAAAATTGTTAAACAAATTTTATGTACCCCCTTTAAGGGGCTGTATCTTAACAAGGGATGCTCCAATGAAGTTTCTTTATATGAAAGATCCTATCTTTTTTTCGATGAGGAATCACCCCCTTAAATGTTTTACACTTATTTAGTTACACCCTGTATATTTGTAATAATTCTTAAAACTGTAGTTGGGATTTAAATAAAGTACTGAAACTTTCTTGTAACTTTATTTAGAGAAAGATTAAAAAAACAAGCGAAATCGCGAAATTTTGAGGGTTATTTTGTAAAATTTTCTGTATAAAACCGTGATCGTCAGAATACACTGTTGAACATTTAAACTGTACAAATATTAATGATATCGAATTTTTCTAATTTGACACATTAATATGACTCAATGTGCATGTTATTCTCTCTAAAATAATTTTTTTTCAACATATTGTATAATAAAATCATCTTATCTATCTATTTTTATTGCGCATACTTTTCTTTGGAAGTATATACAGGGTGGCCCAATTAAAACAGTGCACCTGAAATATTTTCAAAGCAACAGGTTTTTCCGGAAAACCCCGAAACAGGCCGATTTTGCTTTCAAGGGAGACATCTTTTGATCATGAATTCTTGGATGTAGGGTCATCCCCCTAAACGGGGTGGCAACCCCCTCAAGAATCCTAAATGGTAGGGGGGTTAAGTGGCACATCACTTCAAAGGTATTCTAATTCTCTTTACAAACATGCTGAAATTTTTTTGTTCTGCCTTAAAATTAATGTAAAAATCCTGTTGGAAGTGTTGGTGAAATAAATCGAAAAAAAAGTCTTCAAACAAGTTTTAATTAATTAAGTGTTTAAATTCCGACCCATTTACTTCCATACAGTAATAACACCTTTATTCAACATTTTCCCGAACATTTTGTAGCATTTCAGGGGTTAATTCATCACATGGTTCGGTGGCGAAGATCTTCTAAAGGGGTAGGTTTCGTTTTAAAAAGAACACTTTTTAAATGACCCCATAAGAAAAAGTATAATGGTGTTAAATCAGGCGATCTTGGGGGCCATCAATGAAACCCCTTCTACCAATCTAGTGTTCGGGAAAATGTTAATTCAAAAAGTCACGTACAGCAGCTGCATAGTGTGGCGGAACGCCAACCTGTTGAAAAAATATATCATTCTCTGGGATCTGATTGTCGTTTTCAAGAATCTCCACAATGCGGTGGTGGATGAAGTCTTGAAGCAAATTGAGGTAAGATTCACCCGTCAAGTGATCAGGTAGAAAAAATGAACCAACAATATTATTTCCCAAAATCCCAGCCGAAACAATCAACTTTTCTGGATACTGTGAGTGCTGTTCTCTCATAACTTCAGTAACTCCAGTATGTGCAGTTATACGTCTGCTGACGTAACCTTTAAGAAAGAATGTGTATTCGTCAGAAAAGCATGTACAATATAAAAAATTGGGATTGTATAAAATTTTTTCACTCATCTGTTTACAAAATTGTATACGGCGATCTGGATCATCTTAATTGAACTCTTGAACGAGATGAATTTTATAGGGATGGAATTGATTCTTTTTCAATATCATCTGAAGACTACTACGTGGAATTCCTGAAGTTGCCTCTAATTTGGTGCTTGAAGACTTCGATGATAAACCTTATTTTTTTACAGTTTCATTATCCGGTGAATTTTTTAATTACTATTTTAAGTCATTTTTTCGATTTATTTCACCGACACTTCCAAAAGGTTTTTTTACATTAATTTTAAGGCAAAATTTCAGAGTTGCCGCCCCGTCTAGGGGTAAAATTTTTTATTAAAAGATGTCTCTTTTGAAAGGAAAATCGACCTGTTTCGGGGTTTCCGGAAAAACCTGTTGCATTGAAAATATTTCAGGTGGACTGTTTTAATTGGGCCACCCGATATATTAATTATAAACATAATAAAATATAATCCTTTGTTAGAAACCTTATTTTATTCTGTGAATTTTGATGGATAAAATGTTAAGTAATCTGAGAAAAATTTGTATGATACGACCAGGTCTATTTGTGTAGAAAAGTGACTATATTTTTAAAGGCAGACAGCACAAGCAATAACTACAACAAATAATATAATATATGTTTACTTTATACAACTGTTAAAGTCATCACGTACATTTTTATACTCCAATATAAAATTTATACACATTATCACATTTTTAACAACTTACATAAATAATATAGGTATTCTACAAAACAACACAAAATCGAAGTAATAAATAATACAGCTACTAATATATTACTTTTCTAGATTTGTCCTAATTTATCTTTGAAATGTTTTACTTTACTTAAATATATTTTTCATTATTCCTATGCTTATTGATATCTTAAAAATAAATAATAAAATAAATATACAGACGATTATTTTGAAAACTAAACGAGATATCTAAGTTCTGCAAGAAATATTGTGAGATGCCTATTTTAAAGTAAAAAAATTAAAAAAATGGTTTCTATTAGTGAATAGTTTACAATTTAGCGGGAATATTTACCAATTAAGTTCATGCTATTTAAAAGTATTTGACATAAGCAATAGTAATGTAAAATACACATCCAGGTTGCTTTTTAAAGTCCTTTCCTTTAGGGACGTGTTTCTTTATTTTAGGTCAAATGGACTAAAGACGATACAGGGATATTGAAATTTAAAAAAACTGTTTTTTTTTTCAAAAAAGTCTAAAATGATTTACGTAGATTGTTGTAACTTGTTCTAGTTCTTTATTTAATTAAATGCAAAAATTTGCTGAATTGGGATATAAATTTGTCAACCAGCGGCGGAGATAGGTACAGTTGTCGTCACTGAAAACCCCTACTTTACCGAGTTTTTTAAATTCGTTGGATTGTATTTGATTCTCAAATTGTATTTCAAATAAAAATATATTTTCCATCTTATTCGAAAAATTAGTCATTCTCGATTTATTATTTTATATTTCAAACATTTATACATAAGCAAATCACACAGTAGAATAAATATTACATAAATATTTAAATTCGATTTAAGTATAAAAATAAATATAGGAATTTCTTGTACAAAATTCTATTTTAAAGGTACTGTAACCATCAAAAGTCCAAAAATTGCATTCCTACGTCACGCCTCAGATAATTAAAAACGAAAAGTTTATGTGCAACTAAATAAATTTTTAATTTAAGAAATAATAATTCAAATTTGATACAAATTTCAGATATTTATTTTTTCTGAAGTATAATTTCGCAACAAATGATTGAACTGATTAAATTTCCAAAAAATCCAGTAGCGTTCAACATTTTTCAGTATTTTCACTACTGGCTGACATATTTATATGCTAATTCCCAATTTGCCTTTGATTCGTTAAATTACTAACCTACGTTTTTGAATATACGTGAAACATCATCAGACAGAAGAAATGTGACATTCTTTTAATTTCGACACAATTTATCGGAAATAACATTTTTATTGTGTAATTTAGTGTAAATTCAAAGCTGTTTATGAATGAAATTATATTGGTGGCGAATTTTGAGTAAAGTTAAAATTTTAAGCTCATTAGCATAATTTTTGGTTAAAAAAACAAAATATGTGAGAATGAGAACACAGTGTGTACAAATCGCTACATAGTTTACATTTGTAAGTAGAGGCGATACAAAGTTGTGTACAAATAGATACCGACGCGCAGTTTGGATTTTGCTGTCAGAGGACAAACATGTTTACTTAGAGAATCAAGAATTGATGTTAGTTCTTTTGGGTGTGGTATATGTTACACATAGCAAACTAACTCAAAAGTTAACTCATGAACAGTACTCAACGATTAAGCTTAACAAAAAATTGTGTTGATTTTTGGTGAAATTTTATAATTTTTTTTAAGGTGCAGTGATTTGAAACCCCTGGTTCATTAAAAATTGTTGGCATTTAATAAATCCAAGGAAGACGCTTTTGAAATTATGACATGGACTAAAAAGAACACCCTGTACATTGGAACGTTATAATTTGTTTTAAATTAACACTTCAACGATAATTAGGACTTTTTAAGGCACTAATACTGCAGAGGTAAAATCTTTTAAACTTATCAATTCAATATCAATGAAAAATTCAGTATTTACAAATTGATTTTACATAATAATACCCTGATTTCTGATTTCAACTCCGCAGACTGTTTTGTATGACATAACACTATCTACTTGTTCACTGCGGAGAGGTGGTATCACTAGAGGAGCGTGGTTCTGTTTCTAAGGCATCTAGAACTAAAACAAGTGTTAGTCAAAAGCCAAGTATGTACGTTTCTAAATAAATATTAGGAAATAATTGATAACGGTTATTATTAATTATTATTATTATTAGTGTTTTGAAAATACAAACAATGCTTAGTTTTGGCAATACAAGTGTTAAAAGTGCATTTTGAAAAAAGTATTCGGTTCACAAAAAAATCTCTGGTGTACTTGGTACATACGATAATTTTCGGAACACCCTATATATGATCTATTAAAAAAATGAGAGTCAAAATGCATGATATACTTCAAATTTTTTACAGGTTTTTTTTTTAACTTTTAACGATAACAAATAAAATGAAAATATTATTTGTGAAAAATATCCCCACTCTTCAGCAAATTTGTTCATATTTTTTTTATAAATGCCTTTACTAGTGCAGTTCTTATTTTATCATTAAGGTAGGGATTTTCTTAAAGTTTTTCTCGCTTGTAAATTTCTGTTTATTGCTAACTGTTTTCGCGTAATTAATTGTTTTATTAGTCATCAGTATCATATTTTCGATACAATTCTGAATTTTGATAATAATTGTTTATTAGCTCGTAGTATACAAATACTATATAAAATATAAAATAGAGCATGTAATTTTTTAAAATTTAATTATGTCACTGGAAATAATAACTAATTACAGTAATTCTTGTGAAAGAACTTTCGATTATAAATTCTAAACTACATAAAGAATTATCTCCATTACTATGAAATAAATAAAATTTTTGAGAAAATTATATACACACTTTAGTAAAAATTTACAAAGAAAAAAACATGCAGAAAGCCCTCCCTATTGTGATGAAATAAAAGCTGTTGTAAAGTTACCTTAAAAAAAAGAATAAATTTGACTGGGGATATTTTTCTCATTTTTGTAAATGCGATTGTTCCGGACAAAACGTCAAAAAGTGACATCTGTATACAATTTTCAAGTTTCATTTAAGTGCCGGAAGTGTCTCGTTGTACCCAAATGGGTTGATGACGTCGGGGCTATTTTTTACTATCGGGCGGCAAAATTCGATGGAATGGGAAATGGGAACAGAGAAAACAAAGTCGACTGTTGGTATTGAGATTTTCACCTATTTACTAATATTAAATAATAGTCCAATTAACTAAGCCTTTAAATCGAAATTTTGCCAACTTGGCTGAATTTTTGATATGATTTAGTTTAAGGTATATTATAAAAATAAGTGAGAGTAATTTTTTGTTCAACCCCCGGCCAAGGGTGGAAAAAGATAAAACAAAGGGCTTTTTCAAGATAACTCAAAAAGGGTAAGAGCTAAAAAAAAAAATTTTTCATAAAAGTTGTAAAGCAGACAATTCTACATAAAAATGGCCTCTTAACTTTTTCTTGTACTATTACAATTAACAGAGTTAGGGAGGCTAGAACTTATGGGAAGATTTCAGAAATTTAAAAAAAATCATAATAAACAGAAAAATGATTGAATTTTGTAATTTTTTTTTCAATCTGCTCTAAAATATGTAACTTTTCTTTTCAGAGAAATAGATATATTTTTTAATTTTTAATAAGAAAGTTATAACAAAAAATCAAATTTTTAATCGTTAATTTTAATGATTTAACAAAATTAAATTTCTGAAATCTTCCCTTAACTTCTAGCCTCCCTAACTCTGTTAATTTTAATAGTACAAGAAAAAGCTAAGTGACCATTTTTATGTAGAATTGTCTGCTTTACAACTTTCATGAAAAACGTTTTTTTCTAGCTCTTACCCTTTTTGAGTTATCTTGAAAAGGCCCTTTGTTTTATCTTTTTCCACCCTTGGCCGGGGGTTGAACAAAAAATTACTCTCACTTATTGTTATAATATACCTTAAACTAACTCATATCAAAAATTCAGCCAAGTTGACAAAATTTCGATTTAAAGGCTTAGTTAATTGGACTATAATACTATTTCGTTTGTCAAATACTATCTTCTATGTAAATGCAACAATAAAGAATTAAATTGAAATTAAGATTAAGATATGCGTAGAAAAAGTCACAAATGCGATGAAAAACTCAATCTGTCCCATTTGTTGCCAACGTGGTTTGTGAACAATTGTTGATCCACTAAAAAAACGATATTTTCGATTTAGCTTCTAAATATATTATTTTACATTCTCGCACATCAAAAAAATGATTATACGTTTTGAATATGTCAACTATTTTTTATAAAATCATGTTTCATTAAATCCTCAATTTAAAAAAAAATAACGACTATTTTTCATACTGGCATAGTCTACTACAGCAGGTAATATTAACAATTCTTTATACAGAGTGTCTCAAAAACGTTGCAGCATCACCCAGTCACAGAATCTTGAGATCAAAATAAGAAGATTTGGATGAACTCACCTTGTTATATACACCAATTAACGCCTAGGTCAGCTGAACGTGGTACCTCGAGATAATTTTATATGACCCTTTACTATTCTAGTTAGAGGGTTTTTATTTGGTAAAAGTGTTTATTTATTTGAATATATTTCTTGAAAATGTAAGAAAGAGACATATTAGGTATTATTTTTTTGAGATCCTCACGCTTTTAACTACCACTAACCCTGACTTGCATCACTTCGATTTTAAACTAAATTTCTTTGTATATTTTGACTTTACTTTAAAGAATTTAAATTAAAATTAAATAAAATCAAATATTTTTCTAAAAATCCTATTAAATAAAGCCATGTCACAATGTACTTGACTGTTTTTTGCTTCAACCAGGTAAGTATAGATGACATTCTTCATTGGTGCACTACCAATTTACTACATTTAAACTTCTCCGAATGCAATGCGACGTTATTCTCTAGGAAAATCGGTTCTATTATATGTATATTATACTTTTGATGATAATTTAATTAAGAAATGTTGATTTTCAAAGATCCCGGTGTGAAATTTATTATTAAATAAAATTTTACATATCAATCATATTAAGTGTGAGGCATATACAGGGTGATTCAGTGATAAAGTCATTAATTTTAACCATGTATTCTAAAGGCTTAATAAAGACAGAAAATCGAAAAAAGCTAGGTTAGTGACCGAATACTCTCGATAAACCTTTGTAGGTCAGCGGTCGGAAGCGGATCAAAAAGGGGTTTAAATAATGATTTGAAAATATTTTTTTCCGCGTACGCATATTACCTTTCAAAATTTTTTTAATCACGTATTCGTATTCAACTATCTTTTTCCCATCTTCCCTTAAAATCAATGACATTATGACCCTGTAAAAACTTCGGTATCATTGTATTGAATTCGTAACAATTTATAGGAACCAAAGCAAGTGTCTTTATTGTATAATGCATTTGTGCTCCCTAAATTAGAATATGATTCCCTTCTATAGAACTATTACACTCCATAAAATAAAATTGATTAAAAAAATGTGTTTCTATTTCTTTTGTCAGAAGCCTCTTTTTTATATTTACATACAATTATAATTATTATTACCCTTGGGAAACATTGTAGAAAGTTATAAACTTTTTGCCTACTTTTATTCTTAGAATCGTTTTTTCAAATATAAGAAATAAAATTATGTCCTTTCAGTATATCTAGTGTAGAAGATATTTCCATTTTACTAGAAATGTATTGGAAACATCAAAATTTCACAAAGGAAAAACATTTTCTAGAAAAGTAAATTAAATAAGAGAACCTACGTATAAAACAGTTATAGGGTTGTCATAGGGATGAACAATCCAAAAAATTAACGCCCTTTTCCTACATACTCGTATAAAAGAAGATTCATATCAACTAGAAAGTTCCTAACTCAAACTCTTTTAGAATTATAATAAAAAACATTGATTGGCCACAAGCTGGTATACATTGACTTATTTTGACCAGCAGTCTGTGGTTCAGCGGTGTTTTAGCCTTTCTGGAGCACCTAGTAAATAAGCTTAAGAACCACTTTTTCAATTTTAAAGTACATCGTGCATTTTGACTGCAGTAAAAAAAATGCTCTCATCAACATCATTTTAACTGTACCTCATGAAGCGTCTTCACTATTAACTAACTAACGTAAAATGCATATATTAAACATTTAATACAGACAACACCTTTTACAAAAAGCATCACCAGCCGAACTTACCAGACCGTTGCTCTTGGATATCCTGAGCCTTATAAAACGCAGCTAGATCTGCTGCAGAACACAAAGGAGTGTCAATGGTTACAGTATTATCGAACTTGGAGTAATTCACCTCGTACCCCTGTCTGTCTTTATTGTAAGACACCACGGGTTCAAACCTGTGGCCCCACAGCACTTCAGTGGCCAAGTAGCTCGACCTCGCCTGCGTCGTCTGTCCCGTAGACTCTATAGTCCCCTCTAATATCACCACAATTTCGAATCTGTCCTGCAACATGTCGGCAGCAGACAGCTGATAAAACGGCGAGTCTTCGTCTATCCTGTGGACGATGGTCATGGGCCAGATGAAGAAGAGGTTTCCGTCGCAACCGTCGGCGTTGACGGTCAGTTCTGTCTGGAAGTTATTCAGTACTTCTCCTTCTTTGGTTTTCTTGGAGCAGATGAGCTGGGCTCGGATGCTTGCTCCGATGATGTGGCTCTTCCTCATGTCTCCCACGCGGAACATGAGGCTGAGGTAGCCTTCGCGTTGGCAGATCACAGCGTTTTTGGAAAACTGCAGGGTTTGAGTTCGTAGTTTGGGGCGGGTCATTTTCGCGAACACTATACCGCACATGAAGGCCTGGATGATCATGCCCACGATGCTCTGGAAGCACATGACGAAGATGGCTTCCGGGCACTCTTCGGTGGTCGTTCTCACTCCGTAGCCTATAAAATAAGAAAATAATTATAAAATCTACAAATTGTCTATAACATTCAGATTGCTTCCTTAGTTTAGGTTTTATGAGTAGAAAACTAAAAACTAAATTGATTGGCCTAAATTAGTAACAAAAACTGGTTGAACATGCAAATACACCAGTGGTGGAGTTTCCGTGAAGTATATTTATTAAAAAACTCTAAGTCGCTAACTTTTGAAAATGAAATTAGTAATTTTGACTCATATTTATATAAAGAAAGACTTTATCCAACACTTGTATATAATGATACTATAATTTCTTTTGTTTTAAAGGAATAATGTGGCCTATGAGTCACTAGTGAGTTATAAGTCATAAGTCACTAGTAAGTTATGACTTATAACCCACTAGTGACAAATGTTTGGTTTATTTTTCTAGTTTTTATTAGAAAACCAATTTGAAACAGTAATAAGTCAACAAATAACCTAAAATGCTACAAACTTACAATCTACCTACTTATTAATATTAACATTAACATTTATGGTAAAGCCGTAATTTCATGCCAAAGGATTATTGATATCATTTTGTAATTGTGGTAAGTTTATAGAACAGGTTGCCCCTTTGCTTGTGCTTGCTTCAGGAGTCTGCACCCCTTATATCTTTTAAACAATATCAATTTTGCTGGAAATTGACTCTTCTATATAACCTTCTGGCACGGTAGATGATCCATTCCTTTGAGTGTTGTAATATCCCCTCCAGCATTGGCTAAGAGAGTTGCAGATGCAATCTGTCAAGCTCAAAAATCGCGCAACAACATTAGGGATTTTTGAGAGCTTATTAATACCAACACATTGACGTGTGCATTTTCCATTTTGAAAATTGCAAAATAACCTTTTATGCTGCACATTTTGAGGCGTTAGTTTAGACTAATTTTTAATTAATTAAATTGGATTAACACAAAATCCTTCATTTAACACAGCGAAGCTTCTTGGTTTGTTCGTTTTAGTATTTGAAATCATGATGTGGATATGCTGCCTTTTGTCCTCTATATTGTCTATGCTTAGACGGGTCAATTCCTCGCAACGGCAAGCGCCACAAACTGCTAATATCAACGCCACCTAGCAACAACAAATTTAATAAATATAACTCAGTTAAACTATTCAGTAGAACCTACCTTATTCATAAGATGTTCTTCGTCTAGGGCTTCACGCAAAAATTGTTCGATTTGTTCTCTTTCTAAGACCTTGGATTTTTTTGGTTGAAAATGTTTGTGCTTAGACCTTAGAAATGCCACTAGTCTTCCAAATTTAATTTTATTAACACATATATGTAAAAGACCTATTTCACCTAGCAAATCAGAGACGACAAATTAACAAGTTCAAATATGATTATGTAATTATAACATAATATAAAAATGTTTTGACTACCTATATTATTAATCCACTTTTATCGATAAAAATAATTTTGCAAATATATCCAACACTAAACAGTTTATTGTGTGTCTAAGTAAGCTTATTTAAACAAGTTTTTAAAGTAAATACCTCCTGACGTATCTACCTATGAGTTAAGTAATCTATTTTCAGCCTATGTAAACAAATAGTTGCACCAACAAAATTGTGTTAATGACATTGGGATTGATGTTTACACATCCGTATATTAGGTGTCCTTAGCTACGTTAAGATTTAGATAGTGAAAAATGAAGGCTAAGTATTGTCTTTTTTTTTTTGTTCAATTTTATATTTAATAAAATACTACAAGTTATTCAGAATCTATACGTTTTACTTAAAAAGGGGTGTTTCTAAAAGGTCTGGCCAAAATTCTACCTTATATTCCCGAGCCAAAATATGATATGATCTAATCCAAGTTACCTTAGTCCAAAATTTGATAGATTCCGAGATATAGGGTGTTGACAATTTTATTTTACTCTTTCTTCAATAACTTCATTACTAATTGTAGTAAATACATAAAACTTGGTAAATCTGGTCTCGAATTTGCTGTAATTTATTAGAGGACGCTACCTACAGTACCTACATCCATTTAAATTGTTGTAACTTTATTGTACCCTGATGTATTGAATTTCACAAAATTCTTACTCTTCTGAAAAAGATATACTTGGTAAATGTCGCTTTGAACAACGAATTTGTTGGATATGTGAGTTTAAAGGTTTTATTTCAACTCGCATTTTGCCATCTTTCTCAGATTATACAGGCTTAGGACTGGTCCAAACTAGTTATACAATTTTGCACCACGTTTTGAAGCCAACGGACCAACAACAATAAAAAATTAAAAAACCAGTGGTCAACAACTATAGGAACGATACAATAACTTGAGAACAATTATGGCAAATAGTTTCATTAACGATGAATATGTTGACATGCTGCAAGTATTTTTTGAAAAACTGAGCAAGAAGACCGTACCACCAGAGGCATCCCAATCGCCCAGTTCCCCACACTTTCTCAGCAGCAGAAAGAAGACTACGAGAAGCTGGGAGAATCATCGTAAAAAAATAAAATTATTGGGTAGCAAATCCAAGGAAGCACTTGCAAAAGCCACAAAAGATCTAATGACAGAAATTAGCATGACAACCGTATTAAATATTTCATAGTTGCAATCGTGCGAGTTGTGTTGAGAATGAAAATGGATTTAATTTTTTTGTTAAGGGTAGTATTAAAGGAAAATAATGAGAAAGATAAAAGTTCTAAGGGGGAAACTACATTAGGAGGCTGATTTTCAGGCGTTCCTCATGAATTTTTTTTGAGTAAGACAAACTGATTAGAATTTGATGAGACTTCGACATTATTTTATCAATATTTTGAACTACATTGACAATTTTTTTTCAATTCACTTGTGGTGAAAATGCTGTTGTTAATGGGCTGTTGACCACCGAAGGTCGTAGTCAGAGTTGGTTGTTCACGGGAAATGTGGAGGTCGAGATTTTGATCTGAAAGCAAAATGGTTGTATTTCTGCATTATTAACATGTTTTCTAAGACTATGAACCTCATTGCGGGTAAAAATTGTGAAAATTGAAGAAATACGCTTTCAATTTTCATAACGATCATAAAAATGTCGTTTCGAGAAAAACGCGCTTGAAGATTTCCAAAAACTAGAAATTTGAGAAAGTAGTCAATAATATAGAGTGCTTTCCGATCAATCAATGGCTTCTCATAGGCATGATTCTGAGCTTGCGTCTGTTCTTTTCTTGTTTAATAAGTGAAATGGTCGTTCAGTTTTAGGTTCATAAAATTGGAACAAATAGATTTTTTCTAATGTGGTTCCCTCCTTAAAATAAAATGTATTTTTTAATATTCAATTTTTGTTAAACAAAAAAGTTATAGCAAAAGAATAACTTGCTTATGCTTATTTCAACACCCTCTAAGGGGCAGACATTTTCGAAATATTTATGAGAAGTTGCACAAGCATTAGTAGAAAATTTGTGTAAAATTTGACTATTATACCTTTCTTGATTTTCAAATTAAAGCTACTTTTCCGTATTTTTTTGGAAACCTTGAAAGGTTGTATCTTCAAAGGTAATTTTTATGCAAAACGTTAAATATAAAACAAAAATTATAAGGCAAAGTTGATAACTTATGAACTTCATATGCATACATTATTCTTCAAATCTTTTATGGACTGAAACTTCTTTATAACATAATTTATATGTATATCCCACCTTAAATGACAATCTATAAAAACACCTAAATATTTTATTTTTGTTGCAGGTAAGAATCTAATTGTATGACCCTGGCATTCTAAATTCAGATAATCAAAAGATGGGGAAACTGACTTATTGCATGTAAAAGGCAAGTAGTTCGTCTGTTCCAGGTTAATGGTCAATAGTTTTGTAATTGAACCAATCTTTTACATAAGACAAATCATTCTCCACAGTATCTTTCAACTCGTCCCAAGTGTTACCTTTATGGAAGATAGCTGTATCGTCTACAAAGCCTATAACATCTCCACTGATAAGTAAACCAAATAAGTCATTAATATATATATATANTTTTCTTCTCTATATATATATATATATATATATTAAAATTAATAGGGGCCCTAAAACCGTATCTTGCGGACCACCATGCACTCATTTATAATGTATACTATTGGCTCAGTCACAAACTCCACAATATGTTTAGTTAACTCTGATTTCAGGTTGTCAAATCTAGGAGATTTTTTGATTTTTAAATTTAGTAAAATCTTTTTGTAAAACTAGTGAGTTTAGTGAATAAGCGCCTCTAAAAGCAATCAATCTATTAGGTATTATGCTAATTTTTTTCCTATATTAGAAAAGGTGTTATTAAATTCCTCTGCCATATCTATGTTACCAGTTAATTCAACATTATTCTCATTTATCAAGTGTTGGTTTTGAGTTAGACTTTGTTATATTTTGAACTACTTTCCATAGATAGAATTGTTTTTGTTTTTGTTTATCAATTCATTATAATATTTTTCCTTTGCTTTTTTGATTATATTTGTTAATTTGTTTTTATATTCTTTATATTGTCTTTCTAGATTTAAATTATCTGGATTTTTTCCAAATTTCGAAACAATAGATTTTTTTGGTTTTGGTTTTGGCAGACTTTTTCAGGTGTTTTCTTTTAATAGCTTTAACATAAGTGCTTTGTTTTACTGCTTCAGTTACAATTTCTACAAAAGTTTTTGTAGCTACATCAGGATCTGGTTTTGTATACACAGACTCCCAAGATATGGATGTTACTCATCACCGAAGTTAATTTGTTAAAGTCAACATTTTCAACGTAACTGGATTGTTGACTTGTTTTAGGCACATCTAGTATTATTTGTAAAATGGTCGTAAAATGATCGGTAATATTACTTTGAGGAAATATAGGTAAAATGAATTCTAGATTAAAGTTACTTTTTGGTTTCATAAAGATATGATCAAGATATGTTTTCGAGTTCTTTACAATTCTGGTTGGTGTATTAATTGCGGCATTTTCTGACATAGGTGGTAATACGTTTATATTTATAGCTCCTGTAAATAGGTAATGTTCATTTAATACAAACGGAAAATTTTGAAAATAGTTGTAGAGATTAGAGTTGTACAGGGTGTCCCTAAATTTATGCAACAAAATTTGGTCACAGATTATTAGGACAAATTTAGGGGACCCGTATTTTTTATTTTTGCAAAGTAGCCCCCTCTTTCGGAGTTACAGCCCCCTGAAGTCCGCCCCTAAGAATATTCTTTTTTTTATATCTCAGAACCGTGTTGTACGAGAATCACTAAATTTGGTACACAGGGGTTTTATGACATGTGGAATCTGCTGGTGCAACGTTTTTTGTCGGGGAACCTCCTTAAGACAATTTTTCGTGGGCCCCCTGGTCTTTGGAGCCAAAAAAATTTGGTCGCATGTTTAAATTTCTTAAAAATTATCAGTCCACTAGAAAGCCATTAAATTTAGAAATTTTTTGTCACTTTATACTTTTTTCGTAAAACGCAATGGTTTCGAGAAAAATGTCAAAATGTGATCGAATGCATATCGTGATTCGCCATTTTCCTCAAAAACATTGCGTTTTACAAAACAAATATCAAGAGACAAAAAAGTTTCTAAATTCAATGGCTTTCTAGCTAACTAATAGTTAAAAAAAAAAAATCAAATTTGCGACCAAATTTTTCTGGTTCCAAAGACAAGGGGACCCACGAAAAACTGTCTTAAGGGGTTTCTCGCCAAAAAGCGTAGCACTGTGAGATTCCACATGTCATAAAACCCCTGTGTACCAAATTTAGTGATTCTCGTACAACTTGGTTTTGAGATATAAAAAAGACTTCTTAGGTGCAGATTTCAGGGGGCTGTAACTCCGAAAGAGGCGGCCAATTGGCAAAAAGAAAAAAATACGGGTCCCCTAAATTTGTCTTAAGAATCTATGACCAAATTTTGTTGCATGAATTTCGGGACACCCCGTATAATAGACGACAAAATACAAATAATTTAGTTCTCTTAATAATAGAGTAAAGCAAATGGTCAGTTTGTATGAACATTTTGTCACTCACCTATAGTATGTTGCGTTTCTATGGAGAACAAAAAGCACGACGTGAACCCATAGATGTTGAGGACGCATGGAGTCCAGTTGGAATCAGCCTGATGAGTCGGCAGGTGCTCTTCGCTGAGGTCGTCGTGTGAGTAGGCTATGAGCCACCAGAAGAGGGCGAATATGAGCCAAGATCCCAAAAACGCTAGCGCGAATATCGTCAGCGTCCACCTCCATTGGGAGTCCACCAGTGTGGTGAAGATGTCTTGGAGGTACCTGAGTCGTCGTTTTGAAATTCGAGATTGTAGGATGTTGCAGTCGCCGTTTTTGAAGATGGCGCGTCTCCGCATCCTCCGCGCGGCATTGAGCCTGAAGGATCGTCTGCAAATAGAATCACGGATTATTGAAACGGTTTGTGAAAATTATTCATGAGAGAGGTTAAGCGGCGATTGGATATAATGCTACCAGTAATATAACTGAGACCTTGAAGAGTGCTTTAAGGCAAAATTAGAACTAATTAAAACTGAACTGGACCGTCACTGTATTTTAAAGATATTCAGCTAATTGATGATGATGATGATCACTCAAACGATGTTCTTTGATACCAAATATCTGGATATGCAACAAACATTTTTTGGAAAAAGAAAAGAACAGTTCATTTTTATGTTGTTGGTAACAATGGCAAGGTTTTCATTATGTTTTATTATTTACTAATATCCATAAACTGTTGTGCTCATTTTAAAAGAAAAATAATAATGAACATCCTAGGCACAATTATTAAATGCTGCTAAGGACGTTTGCTCACGACGCGAGATTTGGTGAGTGAATAATCCATAAATCAAGTCATTGTCCTGCTTTGATGCGGCAATAAGAAATGCGAAATATTGCTGTTAATATTTATTTATGACACTTCTTAAGCAGTTTTCTTTTTTTTATATATTTTCCCACACTATAAATTAAAAAAAACAGTTATTCATGGTACTAGTGTGTTACGGTATACGTCACGCTGGGAAATGTTTAGCTAATTTTCCCAAGTAACGGAACACACGAGTGCCATACAAAATTTTATGCAACACTTTCATAGAATTTTGTGTTAATAATAAATAAAAGTAACTTAAAATTTCAAGTTGTCGATGTCAGAAAAAGTAAAAGTAATGAAAATAATGTATTTTTAAATATTACAGAGGATGCGAGTGTCAACCTAAATTGTGTCTTAACCAAGGGTTGTCAGTAAACAAACAATATTTTTTGAGTTGAAATCACGTTGAAATCCTAAAACCAAGACTAAAAAAAGGGAAAATGTGGATTTTCCATCTGAAATTTTAGAAAAAGCTAATGCGGCTACTGCAGGCATCATTCCGGAGAAATCAAAATCTATATACAACACAGATCTGAAGGAATTTCAAGATTGGAAAATCAAAGAGGGGCGAAAGGCGTAAATGAAGATGTCTTGCTGGCTTATTTTTTCAATTATTTAAGTGAGAAATTAGCTCCAGCTACATTGTGGACTAAATATTCTATGTTGGAACTCAACTTTGATAGTTTATGATGAACATTGAAATTTCTAAATTCGGAAGACTAGTGGCATTTCTAAAGTCTAAGCACAAACATTTTCAACTAAAAAATCCAAGGTCTCAGAAAGAGAACAAATCGAACAATTTTTGCGTGAAGCCCTAGACGAAGATCATCTTATGAATAAGGTAGGTTCTACTGAATAGTTTAACTGAGTTATATTTATTAAATTTGTTATTTCTAGGTGGCGTTGATATTAGCAGTTTGTGGCGCTTGCCGTTGCGAGGAATAATTGACCCGTCTAAGCATAGACAATATAGAGGACAAAAGGCAGCATATCCACATCATGATTTCAAATATTAAAACGAACAAACCAAGAAGCTTCGCTGTGTTAAATTAAGGATTTTGTGTTAATCCAATTTAATTAATTAAAAAATAGTCTAAGCTAACGCCTCAAAATGTGCAGCATAAAAGGTTCTTTTGCAATTTTCAAAAGGGAAAATGCACACGTCAATGGTATTAATAAGCTCTCAAAAATCCCTAACGTTGTTGCGCGAATCTTGGGTTTGATAGATTCTAATTTATACAGGGTGATTCATTAATAATGGGACAGAGCTTAAGGGCATGTTGCTGACCTCAAAATAGAGCGATTAAGCCAAATATGCCTCATCCGAATGTTGCTCCTTTTCGATCTACAGGGTGTCGATTTTTTTAAATATCTTGAGCATCTTTGAACGGATTGTCTTGAAAGTTTGTACACCTATGTTTTCTTAGGTGGTAATTACGGAAATGGTAACTATTTTGCAATCACATCTAGGATGCGCTAGTTGTAGTGTTCCATCGGAGTAAACATATGTCAAACTTTTTTGTCCTTCAAAAATCTGAATTTCAATAAGAAATTATTAAACTACGTTTAATTCTAACTAAAAAAGATATACCTGTTAAAAATCGATAAATTTAACCGTTTTCGAAATAAGAACGATTTACTATTTCTTTACAAAATTATTTGTTTGAATGTACGCCTTTAAATAAGATGACTTAATTACGAATTAAGACAAACACAGTAACAACTGAACAATTTATTATGCTTAAGTCTAATTACAATAGATTCTCAAAGTGGCGACCATTGTTTTCATTAAATTTTTTTATTCTCTCGTTAAAATTTTGTCTGACACTGAATAGACTTCTTTGTTGATCTCTGATAATGTTAACAGATTCTTGTATTTTTGCCCACAGCTCTTCTCGAGTATGTACAACATCTTTATAAACTAAAGATTTAACGTTACCCCAGAAATAAAAATCTAGGGGATTTAAATCAGAGCTACGCGCAGCGCAACGGTTTCGAAAACTTATATCAAGATATTCTCTTACTGGTCGGGAGTAATGTGCAGGAGCACCATCATGCATAAACCAAAAGGTTTGCCGTAAATTTAAGGGGATATTTTCAAGAATGAGTGGCAAGTCATTTGTTAAAGAATTTAAATAATTTTCCCCATTAAGTGGACGTATTCCACACCAAATATTTATTGAGAATTCATGCTGAAAATGTTGTTCTCGTGGCAAGTAAGGATTTTCCAGTTCCCAGGAATGGCTATTTCTCCAATTAAATACACGGCGCCGGGTAAATGTAGGTTCGTCCGTAAACAATATTTTATTATAAAATGTAGGGTCAGCATTTTGTTGCCGACGAAGAAACTGTGCGAACCGAAATCTACCAGGAGGATCTTGTGGCATCTACTGTTGAACTGGACGAAAATGGTAAGGATACAATTTTTTTTTGTGGAATATTCTGAAGACGGAAGGCTGACTTACACCAGTAGCTGATGAAATTCGACGTGAGCTTGTTTGCGTATTTTCGGCAATTCGCACTAAAACATCCTCTTCTTGCTCCGCCGCTAATACTTTAGGCCTTCCAACGTCTCGTTTAGGGCGAAATGATCCCATTTCTCCTAATCTGTCGTACAACGTCTTGAAAAGCTTGTGGTTAGGTTGTCTGTTATTTGGATATAACTCCATGTACCTCGCTGCTGCATGACGACCACAATAATTTTCTTGGGCATACACACATACCATGTTTCTCATTGCAACAAACGAATAATCATTATAACGCGGCATTTTAATGATAAAAATCACAAACGAAGAAGAACTAAACTGTCTAGTATTTATAAGTTGCTTAGAATTGACATAAATAATACATGACATTTCATTGACAGCGGCCTACTTATTTAAAGGCGTACGTTCAAACAAATAATTTTGTAAAGAAATATTAAATCGTTCTTATTTCGAAAACGATTAAGTTTATCGATTTTTAACAGGTATATCTTTTTTATTTAGAATTGAACGTAGTTTAATAATTTCTTATTGGAAATTCAGACTTTTGAAGGACAAAAAAGTTTGACATATGTTTACTCCGACGGAACACTACAACTAGCGCATCCTAGATGTGATTGCAAAATAGTTACCATTTCCGTAATTACCACCTAAGAAAACATATGTGTACAAACTTTCAAGACAATCCGTTCAAAGATGCTCAAGATATTTAAAAAAATCGAAAATATTTTTTCAAATTTAACACCCTGTAGATCGAAAAGGAGCAACATTCGGATAAGGCATATTTGGTTTAATCGCTCTATTTTGAGGTCAGCAACATGCCCTTAAGCTCTGTCCCATTATTAATGAATCATCCTGTATACAGGGCATGGCTTGCGTCGCGCATCTGCAACTCTCTTGGCCAATGCTGGAGGGGATAAAGTCATCTACCGTGGCAGAATGTTATATAGAAGAGTTAATTTCCAGCATTGATATTGCTAAAAAAATACAAGAGGTGCAGACTCCTGAAGCAAGCACAAGCAAAGAGGCAACCTGTTCTATAAATTTACCACAGTCACAAAATGATATCAATAATCCTTTGGCATCAAATTACGGCTTTGCCATAAATGTTAATATTAATAAGTAGGTAGATTGTAAGTTGTAGCATTTTAGGTTATTTGTTAACTTATTACTGTTTCAAATTGATTTTCTAATAAAAACGAGAAAAATAAACCAAACATTTGTCTTTTTATGATTTCTGTAAGTCACTATTGTGTTTATAAGTCATAACTTACTAGTGACTTATGACTTATAACTCACTAGTGATTTTAAAACCAAAGAAATTATAGTATCATTATATACAAGTGTTGGATAAAAGTATATGCCCTTGCGCCCAATTTATTTTAGCCCATAATAGTTTTGAAATTTCACACAATAAGATGTATTTTTTTTATTTATCTATAAAAGATAAAAACAAGACCTAAAGCGAATTTTGTGTTTTTATAGTGATATCTTATTATTTATCTATTTGTCATTGAGACATCAAGATTATAGGAAAAAAGTAAGTTTTTAAAAAACAATCCATTGATTCTTGTAGGGTAGGGATCCGTTAACCATTTTTATTTTTTTTTAATTTACAAATCTATTGTTAAATTGTGCACCAACTACAGAGGTGGATTCAAGTTTTGAATTCCTTTTTTTTTCTGAAATTTTGTTCTTGTTTTTGCAATGTAAGTTGCTTAAAAAATTGTTCACTTTACGTCTCATTTTTCAGGAACGTACACATCTCTGAAACATTCTGATTGTGTAACAGACATTAATTTTGAATTAATTATGAAAATAGAGGCACAAGTTTTTGAATAATCTCACAGAAAATTAAATGAACAATGTTTTTTCTGGTAGTCGTCTTTATTATTTCATTCCTTGGTCACGAAATAACCAATACCTTCAATAGTTCTAATAATTGCAGCATTATTTTAACAAACAATTCCAGAAGAAATTGTGTTAATTATAAACTAAACATGTTATTACAAACTATATATGTTATCTGTTAAACACAT